TTTTCTAGAACAGATTATAAATCGGCTGAAAATTGTACAAACAAGTGGCAACATGTGTGATGAAGGTGTTGCGCTGGGCTATATCATGCAATCGAAAGTGAAACTTAACCTCGCTCCATTGCGGAGATATACCCGCGAGAGTGCGGAAAACTTAAATTTATTTATTTATTTAAAATGTGAAATTTTACCAATATACTCACGGACCACTGGTGGTCCGTGAGCATCCCCTAGTGGTCCTTGAGTATATTGGTAAAATTTCACATCACTGCTGGAGATAAATAAAAATAAAGAACTATGACGGATGTCTAATATATTTAATGCAGCCGAACCATTTATTACAATGCATTCATGTGATGACTTTCAAAGACTACAAGCAAGCACTGCTGAATAAAGTATGATTTTATCTTTTACGAAACGTTTTTTTTCATATGGAATTAGGGCTGGGCGATATATCCAGTTTACACGATACATCGTGGATTGCACTACATGCGATGTCGTAAATGACCACATCGTGAACATCGAGTTTTATGTTGTCAAATCAATTTCCCGCCGCGGCCAAAATGAGCTTTCCTTTCTCCCTCATAGACACAGTAACACACGCAGGCACACACGCAGGCCCCGTCTAACTTGCACACAAACATTACACACATTGCACAGTGACAGAGGCAGGGGCCGACTATAAATGGCCCGCTGGCTCGGAAGCACTATTTAGACACCCCGGGCCAGCATAACGTACATTCCAATTGCCCGCTTGGGCCACTAAAAATATTGCTTAAAAAAAAACAAATTGTCCTGTGCTATAGGTATTTTGACAAGCAATGTTGTTAAATTGTTTCGTTTATTAACGCTACAACATAGCGTTTCGTGAGGCGGTTGTCGTTGTTGGGTGAAAAGCAAAAAGCTGTTTACTGCGGAGCCAGCGCGAGCAGGCTCCGCAGTAAACAGCTGTTTGCTGCGGAGCCAGCGAGAGCAGGCTCCCATTTGCCCGTGAGCGCCGGGCAAAAAACTATCTTCAAATAAAAGAAAGTCACCGGAGGAGTTAAAGGAGAGTGACAGGTAGCATGAGAAGAAGAGGGAGAGAAAGTTTCAGCCAGCTTGATCGATGGAGTTGTTTTCTAGTGGTGCAGTGACGCGTCCTAAAACCCTTTTATAATCTATCGATTAGATTTATGATTCGAAAATTATAAAAGTAGGGTAGACATGTGGATATTATCCGGCTGAACAAAACGTGCATTTATCAAACAGGTTTGTTTTCCACAGACCTTATTTCCAGCTATTTTCCAAAACCCTGTGGAGAAATCCCATTGCTTTTTTGTCGAGGGAACGAGCAGCTTACTTCCTGGTTTTAGGACACGTCACTGCACCTCTCAATATGATGCCAATATAAACAAGGTCTTCTGCCGACCTATGATGACAGTAAGTGAAGAGTAGAAAATATAAAAGGTATTGGCTTTAGGGAAATGTCCCAGCAGTTTAGGAGAATGAAGGTTCTAATCTAATCTATTACATAGCCATTACATGTCTAACTCCTGATAATGACAGGAAGACAGAAAGCGCATTATACTAATAATACTACTCATAATAATAGCAGACATTTTTGAACAATGACCACAATATCATTATTTTAATAAACCAAATATGAACAATTGAGGAAAATGAGGAAGAACTGATGATTCAAACGTTGTAGTACAAGTAGTAATGTAGTTAGTGCATAAATTACTATTGCAACAAATGTGTTAATTTTCTTCATTATTAGTCGATTTTTTTAATGCAGACATACTGTATGTTGCAGGGACTACTAGAATCCTCATACTGGCGTGACTGTAAACATCAAGGGGTTAAATTATTTTTTTTTATTTGTTTTAGAGGACATTTCAGAATATCGCGATATATATCGTATATCACGATATAGTCAGTAAATATCGCGATATCATTTAGAGACCATATCGCCCAGCCCTAGCCCTAGTAAGTTATACAAATAGGCTGAGTAGTCACGTCTCTTAAATCTTTTCCTATACATTATGATTTAACTTTTGCTTCCACACCCAGTGATCCGTGCTGGAACCAAGCCTGCAGAGAATGTCCCTGAAGCAGACATGGCCAAAAGAACCAGAGTGAGTTAATCTTTCAGTAACCATTGAACACAGTTTTACTTTCTGAATGATCTATTTAATGCTCAATCTTACCCTCATCATCTCTCTGATTGCTTTTATATTGAAGGAAATGTCTGATGTTGTCTCTCCCTTAGTTTGAAGAAATAAAGAAGACCAAGCTTCGGAGCTTAAATGTGTTTGTTTCAAAGAATCGTCTGTGTGTCCATAACCTGCCCAAGTCAGTGGACAACAAAAAACTCAAAGCACTCTGCCTCCAAGCAGTGAAAGGGGACAAAGGAGTACGCATAAACGAGGTGAGAAGCACTACTGTTAGTTTTTTTTTGTAGCAGCTATCATTAATTTGCAACCTTCCTGGACATCATTTTATGCCAGTAGCATTTATGAATGTTGTCGTCATAGTTTAAAACACTGCCTCTGTGTGTCCACTAGGGTGTGGTGTTTTCATTCTTGTTCATGCTGTCTCTGTGTCTACCTCTGTTTCTCATTCAGTGTCGGGTGATGTATGACAAGAAGCCAGAGAAGGGTCAGTCGAACGGACAGTCGTTAGGTTACGGCTTCGTCCAGTTTCAAGAGCACGAGCATGCTCTCAGCACACTTCGTTACCTTAACAACAACCCTGACCTCTTCGGCTCACACAAGGTGGGTTTTTGCTGACATCTATTATCGGTTTTATTATGAGCTATGTTTTTGCTTTGTTGCCACTGTATTTATTCAGCCTTAGAAAATGTTGACTTCACACTGTGGTGATTATTTCATTTTGCACACCGGATTATATTTTGATGTCATCCTGCAGAGACCGATCGTTGAGTTCTCCCTGGAGGATACAAGGAAACTTAAATTAAAAGAAATCCGCCAACAAAGGAACAAGGTGCGTTTCTATCAATTAATTTCATGTCATGGTTACAAAGAATACCTTTTTTAATTTCATTTTTGATTTCCAAATTAACCCCAAATGTATGTCTTTGAAGGAATTCTTACAAAATCGGCTACAAAAAGGAGGAGGGAAACCTCAGACACCGGCAGATGGAAAATGGGCCAGTAAAGATGGAAATAAAGCAGCAACCTCATCCGTACAGACTGGAAACGAGAAAGGTTCGACGATATCATGTCTGTATTAATGTTCCTTCGACGTTAACGACTTTTGAACACTCAATCAATATCAACTAAGCTTTTGACATATATATATATATTTGTTTGACTCTGTCCCCTTTTTTTGTTCATCAGCTCCTCTTGAAAACCAGAAGCAGTCCGGACAGTTTTCGGGCTTCCAGACGAAACCTGAGGTCGAACATGTGGATTTGCAGAACGGGAAGAAACGAAGAAAGGTTCTAGCCTTCCCTTCCCATCGGGGGCCTAAGATCAGGTACAGTTCTCACTACATTTTACGGGTTGCTTGTTTACAATGCGCTGTGTTTTGAGGATATGCATAAACAATTGAGACATTTAAAACAGAGCAATACCAAGGTGTAATAAAGATCTAGCTCTATTTATTAACAACCAAGCTGTGTACAATTGTTGTTTACAATTGTATTTGGATCCCATTAGCTTCCACAAAGCTATTCTTAGTATCCAGGCAAAAAGAATACCAATACAAAAATAACAACAACATGTTTGGCAGCATTATGTTTGTGGATTTTGCTCATGTGTTTGCTCAGGGTGTCCGCGGGGTCTTAAAAAGTATTAAAAGTTGATAAATCAATTTAGCGAAAATTAAGGCTATTAAAAAGTATTAAACGGCATTTTCCAAGGTATTAAGAAGGTTCACAGCAACGACAACATGAAACACCCTTTAATTTACTGAAACGACATGTCGGGAAACCCCCCAAGGCGACCCGATGCATAGCGCGGCGTAAAATGCAGCTTATTATTTTAAGTTTCGTTGCCTTGCTCCGCTCTGTGCGGGGGGGGGGAACTAAACGACTACGGTAACGGGTCCCAAGGTGGGTAGACCGGCATACGCAACGCTCTGGGGGTCCAACGGCTCCGTGTGTAAGCCCTATATCAGGGGTCTGCAACCTTTTTGACCAAAAGAGCCATTTTGCTCCTTTTTCCAAAACATTTTTTTGTCTGGAGCCGCAAAACATATTTCATAGCTTGATAGCTAATAAAGTTGTATTTATTGTTAGGCCTATATCAGACAAAAACTAAGTTTTTTTTTTGCATGTATTAGGCTATTTATTACATTATATAAAACTGTTAACCTCTAATAAGAAACAAATAACTCCTATAAGGAGAATTAAAATATACACAGGCCTACTTTAAAATAAATTAAACACAGCACTTGGGGATCCTACTGCACATTTGAGGAAAAATATATTAAAATGTGCCCATTTGAATAATAAAACATATAGCTGCACCCTAAAAAGAGTTAAAGGTAGGGTAGTAAGAATGGCGAAAACCAGCTCGAGTGACGCT